CACCTCACGCTTCATGTGATGACTCGATATAACACACCTACATATATATATACACACACATACACGTATTACTCATCTTCTTCTTTAATTATAATTTATATATATATTTCTTCAAACAAATTAATTACAAAACAAAGATGAAAACCCAAGTTGAGGAGAGCTTCTCAGATTTCCACGAGAAATGGACGAGCCGAGTCGAGGATCTTCTGCAGCTCGTTCTAGCCGTTTCCAGAGACGACCACTCCCACGACCCAGCCGTGTACGAAGCCGTGGCTAATAAGCTGACGGCTCACCACAAGGAGTACTACACCTTCAAATGGGCCGCCGCCCACGAAGACGTCTTAGCCTTCTTCACCCCTGTTTGGTTGACCCCACTCGAAAACGCCTTTCTCTGGTTCACCGGCTGGAAGCCGTCGGCTGCTTTCCGGCTCGTCGAGTCGTTAAGGGTGGCGACGAGCGGTGGTGGTGCCGCCGCCGCCAGCTGCCTCTCCGGCTTGACGGAAGAGCAGGTGAAGAAGATTGAAGCTCTGAGGGTGAAGATTAAAGCGGATGAGGATAGGGTGGAGAGAGAGATGGAGAGGCAGCAGGTTTCCATGGCTGACCGGAAAATGGTGGAGCTTGCTATGCTGGAGAGACGAGCCGGGAGGAGCGAAGGCGGCTCGGCTTCAGCTGCGGATTTGGCTCGGGTGGATGGCTTGGTGGAAGTGGCGTTGAAAGGGCTGTTGGTCGGCTTGGAGAAAGTGATGAAGATGGCTGATTGTGTTCGGCTCAAGACACTAAAAGGGCTGCTGGATATTTTCAGTCCCATGCAAGGGGTTAATTTCCTGGCTTCCAAGGCAATGCTTGAATTGCAGATCAAGAAATGTGGCCAAAAACACAATAAAAATGTTTTGCTCAAAACTTTCTGATATATTAACACACACATATATGATATATGTATATATATATATAATATATATATTATGTGTGTCTGTGTGTGTAATAGGTGGTATTACTATTTAGTATTTACTAGCTTCTAAACAGTAAAACATATATAGATAGTATTTTATTACCTCTTATGTTTAAATGCAATAAAAATGAAAATAAATAAAATATTTTTTTATTCGAATATTTTGGATTATTCAGTACACACATACATACACATCAAGGTAACAAAAAAAAAAAGTTATACAAAAGAATCAAATAAATTAAATGGAAAAAAAGATATATAGTTACAAAGTATATATCATTCTTGAATAATATGTATTATATATAAATATCAGTTCTTCTTAATCAAGCAGCTTCAGCAGATAATATTTCAAGTTCAGCCCACCAAAGAGGTGACAACCTCGGTGTTGCAGCATCAGGGGACACGTCAATCACCTGTCTTAACTTCTGAATAACTTCCTTCATCGAAGGTCTTCTTCTCGGATCTTGCTCGATGCACATTTGGATTACTTCGCACACTACTTCGAGCTCGTTTTCTTTGAACGATTTCAATGTCGGATCGGTCAAAGAGATGTAACTCTTCTTGTTGTTCAAGTATTGAGCAGCCTGTCACAATTCAAAAAATCGTCAATTTTTAGGGTAAATTACGAGAAACTCTTTCAACCAAGGGCATTAATGTAATTTATGAATTTTTCTTCTATTTAACTAAAGGGTAGTCACTGTTATTCATAGGGGTTTTTTGGTAATTGTGAATATGTGAGGGTTTCTTGGTAATTAGACCATAGTTCGGGGTGTTTTGGTAATTTACCCTAATTATGAACGAGGATCATAATCAAAAGTAATTAAGATTATTACCCAGTTCATGATATGCCCTTTCTCTTCAGAGTAAGAGAGCTTTCCGGAGATTATTTCAAGCAGCAACATTCCGAAACTGTGTACATTTGTTTCCACGTCGGCAAGTGGGGGTAGTTCGTTAGTTTCCGAGTCGTTTTCTGTATGGTTTTTCGACTTGGCTACGAGTTCTGCCCAGAAACTCATATCTGCTATCTGAAGGGGAAAAAAAAAAAAAAAAAAAAAAAAAAAAAAAAAAAAAAAAAAAAAAAAAGTGTACATGTTTTCGTTAGTTTTTGTGCTTAAATAAAAAACGGATTTAGGGTTATAATTTCGTGCATACTTTAGCAGCGTAATCATCTGTCAAAAGTATTTCTTTGGAAGTTAGGTTGAAATGCGCGATTGGTGGATTGAGATCATGCATGTGTTGAAGGCAATAAGCTGTCCCCATTATTATCCTCATTCTTGAATTCCAGTCCAGATGTTCGACTTCTTTAACTGATCGAAAAAAAAAAAAAAAACAACATTCAGACAATGTGTAGAAATAAAATGACTTAAATTGCACATGAATTTGTATTGGCCACACAATCCCCTAAATGGCGAGTTTTTAGGGGGTAGTTAGCTAAAAAAAAAAGTAGGCGTTTATTGCATTCGAGACCCCTATATTTTCTCTAATCGTTGAAAAAACTCCCTATTCTATGATTCATTTTTTTAGCTGGAAGTTTTTCGGGGTTTTTGCTAATATTTTTAGCATATGGAGTTCTTCAGCAATTAAACTAATAAATGCAATAAACTCAACAAAAAAAATTGAATCATAGGGGTGTGTTTGCTAGTAAATAAATAACCCGGGGAGTCTTTTAACAATTACAATAAACACAGGGGTGCGAAATGCAATAAACCCACAAAGATTTAATTTACCATGAAGATGCTCGAAAACAGTGCCGTTTGGTGCATATTCGAAAACCATCATTCTAGTGAAAGGCTCGTCCTCCTCACAGTAACCAATCAGATTAATGAAATTCTTGTGGTTCACTCTCGACAAGGTATCGATCTACAGTATTGGCAAAAGCAAAAATGAGGATTTTCTTGACGAGATTTGTATTTTAGAAAATATCATATCTTTATCAATGAAATAATTAATTTACCTTCTTCCGGAATATTAATTCCGAACGCTTTGACCAGTCTTTGAAAGAAACTATAGCAGTTGAAGCAACAGCAATCTCCACTCCACTAGACAGAGTTCCTTTGTATATCGTAGCTACACCTTCGTCGGTACTTATAATATTACTGAAATCCTCGCACGCGGTTTCTAGTTCAGCTCTGTTTAACTTAGGTACCCCTACAAACGAACCACATTCATATCAATTTTCAATAATATGTTACAACATATAGGTCAATAATTCAAAAAAAAAAAAAAAAAAAAAAAAAAAAAAAGAAAAAAGGAACCTGTAATAAAAGCTTTCTGCAACTGCCCACTCAATCCCGTTTTCCAAGGGCCAATAGTTCTTGCTGCTCTGCTTCTGCAGATGATAAAAATGGCCGAGGCAACAATGAGTGAGAAAAGTCCAACCGATAACCCTACGATGAGATTTAGGGAAAATTGAAAATTCCCCCAGACGTGGAGTGGCATTAGCAGGATTGGGTGTGGCGATAGTAGAATTATGTTCTTCACTTGAAGGAGGTGTTGCGCCAGGAATGAACGGTGGTTCTTCTTTGGAATAGCGGGAAATGATCCACTGCTTCTGCTTCGAAGAGTAGGGACAGATTCCACGGGGCCCACAAATTTAGGAGGTAGCGCAGCAAGGTTGCTGGATTGTTCGACTAATATTCGTCGTACATTACTCACTTTATTGTCGATATTCCAAATAACACCGGTCTCTGGTAACTCTGAAAAAAGAAAAACGCAATAAATTTGTATGTATTACTTAGGTTTAGGAATGGAGCATGATTGTTAATTACCCCGTTAAATTCAAGAAAGAAAAAAAAACAAAATCTCGTTAATTACCTGTTAAATTACTTCGACTATCATCAGCGTGATTGTTCGATGATTCATTTTCAAAATTGAACCTTTGACGAAAAGAAAATATGAGATTTTGAATTTTATTTTATTTAAAAATAAATACAAAATTACGGTTACTTACAATGGGAAAAGATTAAGGTAACGAATTATGGTCCCTTTAGTTGGTATCCGAAACGGATTTGACTTCTGCGTTTGTTTTAATACGCTCTGCCATATACTGTTCAAAACATGCGCTTTAGAAATATAGGACGAAAAAAAAAATACGACTCTCGACTAACAAAATAATGTAATTTATTTCACTTGAATTGAATATATCGCGTACCAGTGCCCGAATTTTCGGTTCATGCAGCCAACTCCAGAAGCAGAACCAGCAGTTGTAAGAGCCTCGTTACATTGTGATTCATTTAGCAAACCGAGTTTTCGAATCTCCATAGGAATCTTCCCTTCAAGTTTATTGTTGCAGAGGGTCCTAAGAGCAATATACATAAATTAGCGAGATGAATAATGTATAATATTAAGGGAGCATTGCAAAATGTGTAATAATTGCGAGTGTACATACAAACGTTTTAAGGAATGCAATTGTCCTAGTTCAGCAGGTACTGTTCCATTCAGCATATTATTTCTCAAGTCCAACACTTCGAGTTTTCCGAGCTTCGCAAACTCTTGCGGAATTGTGCCGGAGAAATTGTTCTTGGATAGATCACTTGCGATTTGTAACAAACTTAGAGTATTAGCAGCCGATATTTCACAAAAAAATAGAAAATGAAAAAAAAAATCTTATAAAATTCTTGAAACTCGAATTATCATCAGAAGTTCGGAATAGAGAGACAAGTTAATACTCACAGAACTCTTATATGCGAGAGATTTCCGAGCTCTGGTGCCAAAACTCCCTTCAAGTCGTGTCCATTGAGATCTCTATACAAAACAAAAAAAAACGTATTACTTTACGAATATACAAAAATCTTCGATATTTCATAGTGCTATATAATGAAAATCAGTATATACGATAGGTACTTACAGTATATGCACTTTACCATCCAGACAATGAACACCCGACCACATGCACGGATTACAATCACATCGATTCCAATTCGCTAATGCTCCAAATGGATCAAACTCCACCTTATCTCGAAATTGCAATAGTGCCAATCCTGCATTTACCATTTCTTTTTTATTTTATTTTTTATTGAGTCGATAAAACAAACACATCAAATAAGATGCTACTTGAGGTTTAAAAGAACCTAATTGATTTACCTTCTGAATCGAGGGTGCAACATCCATGAATTCCCAAAACAAGAACAGAAAAGACGAAACAAGAAAAGTGAGCTCCATAAGCGATCCATCTACGGCTCATTGTTTGCCGAACCATTCGCGGTGGTGGAGGCAGTTTTTTCCGCCAACAACAGCCAGGACTCTATACAATGTACTACACAAAATCGCCAGCTTTCTATATTACGAAAATAACCCTCCGAGCAACCGATAATTACTCGGACAAAACAGAGTTGTACAACCACACCAAACAAATTTTCTTCTTCTTCAACTATACTTTAAGAAATTTAACAACTAGGCAGAAATAGAGTAGTAGCAAATAAAAGAATCTAAATGAGGGCTTTTGAAAGTGTCGAATATATTGGGGTCTCTCATCTTCGACTATTCTTCGGGTGCTACAACACCTCCGTTTTCAACGAAAATTGCATAATCCGGTTAAAACGAACTATCTCCAAGATTCAACCTTTTGCTGAAAATGCACAATAATTAAACATAATCAACAACCCTGTTTATTTTATTTTATTTTTATTTATTTTTTGATATGAATGAAATGGCATATAAACAAGCCTTATTTCAATTTACACACAAACCTTTAAGAATCATATAAAAATAAAAAATATTAAAAAAATAATATTCTAAAAGAATAACCCCAGGGGCAAGCAATATGCAGATAAAGCAAAAGGGGATGAAATGTAAAGGCATGCAAAAAGTTCAAAGTCACCATTAATTCTTTACCTGCAGAAATAAAATTCAGGGGTAGAAAAGGTAATTCGGCCTCCTTTTTCAGGATTCTCTATCGATTAATTTTGTTTTTTTTTTCCCAATGCAGATTGGTTGAATATTACGACGACGAAGACGACGAAGGATGGTTGAATTATTGATCGGCAGAAAAAAAAATGGCAGCTTGAAAAAAAAACAGAGATGAAAATTGGGCGCTGGGATTTCCTTGAAGAAGACTGCCCTATTCAGGATGATCTCAGAGGTGGAAACTCTCCTCGACCATCTTTCTCTGAAACAGGGGGGGAAAGAGGGGGAAAATCTTTCTCTCTCTTCTTTTGTCTCTCTCTCTAAAAAAACACAAGTTTGTTGCCTTTCACTCTCTCTCTCTCTCTCCTCTCTCTCTCTCTTCCTTACACCCCCTCACACCACCACCCACCACCTCTCTTCTTTTTTTAAATAATTATTATTATATCTAATTAAAAATAAATTATTATTATTATGTATTGTGAATATACTTCTTAATTATTATTATTTTAGGATAATTTTACAATGTCTTCTTAATTGGGGCCTACTAACTACAATGAACAAAGTTAAAATTGGTAAGCTGCCGGCGCCGGCCGGCGGCTTACGCCGCCGTGATTCAGTGGGTGGTAATGCGGGCCCCAAGATCCGAATTTATCGGACCGGCTTTATAATTAGTTGACTGGGTCCCATCACATTTCTCTTATGCGTGCCTGCCTCAAACCCTCTCCAGCTATTTATATTATTATATTTAAAAATTAATAATAATAATAATAATGGAAGAGCAAACATCCTCAATAAAAATATTAAAAATATTGTCCCATAATAATTTTAATTGAATTTTGAAGGTGAGTTGCTTGCCATAGTTGTGAAAATCCTTCCGATTTACATTTCGATCATTGATTCGTTTCGAGTTTTTCAATTTTGCGACTTGATATTAAGAGAAACTAGATGTGATATAGCTCCATCGAATTTATACAAATATTTTTGTACGAATCAAATGATATTTTATGGTTAAAATTTCATCGTTATTATTGAGTCAAAAATAAATTTTAGCATCTTATTTGAAATAGAAAAATATGTAAATAAAAATATTTGCCACAAAATTTATTTTGGCAAAACATATGCACCAAGCCTAACAGACCATGCATTTTTAAAGTATTTAAACATATTTGAAAAATAAAATAGGATTTTTAAGTAAATTTCATGACTATGATTTATCCTACCGTATTAGAAAAAAATGATTTATAATATTTAGTATAACTACTACACAAATATCATTTTATACTTCAAAAATATTATCATTTTCTGATGTGGATCGAGTTATATTGAGAGATCTGATTTTCTCTTTTTCGCTCCCTACAGTTTCCTGCAGTAAGAACTGAGCCCGAGGCTGGAAAAGACCGACTTTTTTAAGTCGTGTTTGGTAATTAATGGGCTTGATGTATCAAATATGGGCTTCATTAGTTTTACATTCCTCGTCGTACAAATCAATAACAGGCCCATTATAGATTAATATAGTCTACCAATTCCAATTGGAAATAAGGTCCAATTTCAATGGACCCAAATATGCCTCAAAATGTAAGGGAATATCACAACCACCTCCCCTGGTTAAAGTCTATTTGCAAAACAATCCCTCATGTTTAAGAAATTACATTCAGCTCTCTCTAGTTTGTAAATTTCTTATATCCACCCCAAAAAAGGTGTCAACATAATAAATCTACATATTGCAGGGGTGGATGTAATTATGGAAATATAAGAGGTTTTTTTCATATATAAACCTATCTTAAAGGGTTGGTTGTAATTTTCCCAAAATGTAAATAAAATATCCAATCATGTGGCTTCGTCGACCCTACCCCCGTTGATAAACACCGGGAGGGTCTTCCGCTGCCACGTGTCATTTTTATTTTTTTTTCTAAAATCCTTAAAAGTAAACTCTAGCGGAAAATAATTATTAAATATAAAAAATGACACGTGGCAACAGAAGACCCACCGAGTTAGGGTCGATAAGTCCCAATCATGTACATTTAATGTATAATTTATATTTATTATATTTTTCTTTTCAATTATTTAATACGTTAACTGTAATAGCTTACATATATAATATGCTTATATCATATGTGTAAATATAATTTAAAAAAAGGAGTTTCTTTGATTTAAGAAACCATAATTTTCTTTCTCCAATTTTTTTATATATAACCCCTCAATTATTTATTATTATTATAATTTATTCGTAAGTGGGATTGCACATCCCATTAAATTTCACCTTCATAAAATTAGAAAATAAAAATAAATAAAATAAATTGAAAATTGGAAATTATTAGCAGATAGTATGCAATGATGAGAAAGTGTCAGTGAAATTCCCTATTTGTAACTTCTTGAATGTAATGATTGACAAAGAGTAGTACAGTACAACTACAACTCTTTAGCATTATCCAAACATATCTATTTTCCTGTCCAATAATTGAATTTATCAGACAGCCCACGATTCATTCTATATTCCCTAAAATCTATCAAATTAATTTTATCTACATAATTACCTGTCGGATTATTGGGTGCTTTAGTATAAATCAAATGAAATCTAGCCGTTGATCTTAAAACTCTTAGATTTCATCAAATTTAGATCAAAAGGGATAAAAATAAAAATAAAAATTTAGCTGGGCCCCCCACCCCATACTTCACATGTTGTCCACTAACCAATTAAATGGTCTGGACCTCACATTTTACTTAGACAATAATCCAATACTAATCAATGTCATTAACAAGGGTATTAGTTTAATCATTAAAGTCTTAACTACTCTTTATTTTTTTCTTAGTGAAGGATTTATTATGTACTATTGGCCCAGAGGGTTACATCAAATCAGTCATCCAAATATCTGTCACATTTAACCATTTTCTAGATGTGTCATCATTTTAATTTTGAATTTCTCTACTCGAAATTATCTTGAGTAGATAAATAAAACAATATATAATTGTAGACATTTATATATTTTTATCGTAAATCTTGAAAATATGTAGTGTAAATTACCCGTAGCCTTTTAAGTAAGACTAAATAACATATAGACCCCTATGGTATTGATAATTGCAAATATTACATCAAAATACATATCTTGAAAACATGTAGTGTAAACTACGGGTACCTTGTTAGTAGGACAAAATATTGCATTTAACCTCCGAGGAAACTGAAAATCCATATCGAAAATTGCATGGAATCTCCAAGATTTCGTTAGTCATAATTTCGTAAGTGTGTAATTGTTTAGCAAAACAATAGTTAAGCTATATTTGTAACTACTAAAAACTACATCAATGTGTAAGTTATTCGATCGTACTTCATGCTTCATCGTAATATACCCTAAAATGTATCTTTAGAAAGACAATTTCACCCCTATGTAAAACAAGAAAACAAACTTAACACAAGTCAATGCATTTCCACGAGGTTGAATTAAATCAAACCAAGAAAAAGAAGTCCACACATATCACCCCCTTCACTTTCCAATGAAAGCTACGATCCACATGATTTATTTTTAATTTAATTTAATTTTTTATTTATTTATTGGCTTGGAGATGTTGAAAGATCACTAACTCCACCCAAAGTGAAAAAATCTATCTCCAAAACCCCCCAAAATATATAAATAAGAGATAAGAGAAAAAAGACAACAAATGAGTGTCCCATTTAATTAATTAATTTGTTTCACATAGTAACTCCAAACAAAACCGGGTCGGGTCTCATTCTTCCACACACCTTCTTCTCTCTTAACCAATTATTCAAACAGTTGAGCCTACGTGGAATTGACCACTCCTATGCAATGTTGCCACGTGGATGATTTTGGAAGTACCAATCATCACCACACTTAGCTCACTCACAATCTAATTTATTGTTTTTGTTTGGCTCGATCTCTAACAAAGGAATTAATCGCCCAATCATATACATGCAATTGGTAAATTCAGCTCTCGTACACAAGCTAAAAACGAATATATAAATTGTATTGCGTAAACTCTGTATGAATTCGATCTAGAGACTCAGTGTTTTGACATATGAAAATGTTACGTTCAGTCGTTATTTCACCGACTAGACCAGTAGTGTGATGCGTGTGCCTGAATTATTGAAGTAGTAAGATATGTGAAGGGTTGGATGATGGATCCAAAAGGCAAAGTACAAGAATATGAGGTGCATGCAATTATTAATTCATTAATTAAAATTCAAAGCAAAGTGAGAATTAATTAATATATAAGAAATGAGATAAAATGATTTTTTTCCCACAAAAGAAGAAGGTGGGAAAAAGGGAAAGTCTAAAAGGATGTAATAAAAACATCATTTAGTACAACTCGAAGAAGTGATTGATACCCACTGTCAATCTCTCTCTTTCTCTCTCTCTCTCTCTCTCTCCTCTTTCTCTCTCTACATAAACAAATTAAAGGAAGGAAAGAAAGAAGCTTCTCTCTCCTTGAAATTCTAGATGAAAAATTTATATTGATGAGAGAGAGAGAGAGATAGAGAGGAGAATAAGAGGGGATGAAAAACGCCATAAGATGCTGTATAGCTTGCATTCTGCCGTGCGGGGCGTTGGACGTGATACGTATAGTGCACACCAACGGCCGCGTTGAGGAAATCGGCGGCGGCGCAGTGACTGCGGCGGAGATCATGAAGCTCCACCCCAGACACGTGCTCAAGAAGCCCTCGTCGCCGTCGGAGCTGGGAGGGATGTGCCCCAAAATAGTCGTCGTGCCGCCCGACGCGGAGCTCAAGCGCGGCAAGATTTACTTCCTCATGCCACTGCCGCCGGCGCCGGAGAAGACCCGGCCGAGGTCGTCGGCGAAGAGGAATAAGGTGCAGAAGGAGAACTGCGGAAGCGGCGGGAACGGCAGTACTACTGCGAAGACTGGGTGCAGTATTTCCGTCGCGAATTTACTCATCTCCGACCGTTATCTGACCGAGATTCTGTCGGAGAAAATCTCGACTCAGAGGGATCGCCGGCGCCGCCGCGTCGGCGTTTGGAGGCCCCACTTGGAAAGCATCTCCGAAACGCCGGTGGAAGCGTAATTCAAGACGCATGAATATTGATCCTTCTTTTTTTCTTTTTTTTCTTTTTGGTCCCTAGGGTTTGGAAACTGAGTTATCTATTTTTGGTTTATTCTGGTTTCTTTCCTTTGTTTGTACATACGAATTTAAGGATAAAAAAATTAAAAATGATGTTCTAAAGAATCACATTGTGCTATAAATATATATCGAAGATGTCGGGTTTTGCTACGACGGTCTCCGGTCTCCGGTCACCGGAAAAATTACGCCGATCGACGACACTTGTGAATTTTCATGTGGATGAGAAACAAATAAAGAGTTTATTTGATTGTTTTTAAGTTTGATTCATTATATTTGGAGTTATTGCAGATAAGAGATTGCTATTGATCATGATCCCACTTTCCACCTTCAACTGTTCCCTCCACCTCTTAGCCCTGAGGTGACGTAAAATTACGAAAAAGTCTATAATGTTTGGATAATTACAATCACATCCATCAACTATGAATCTTATTACACCTCCATCTTTATGGTGTTGAATTCAACATAATTTTATAGATTTCGTGAAATGTTTTTCTACTTTAACTTGTACTCGTTTTGTGCAAAAATGCAGTTTCTGATGCACCACAATCTGATATTTACAAGTCAACAGACACATCTTATGATCATTTTGTTTCAAAATATGGAGGTCGAATGGAATACAAACTCATACAAACTACAAACTGAAATATTCCACACATTTTAGAAAATTCCACTAAATTTGACACCGTAAGGATGAACGTGCAAGGAGATTCAGAGTTAAAAGAAGTAGTTGTAATTACTCAAACATAAGGAATTTTTCGTAAATTTGACCTTACATCAGGGTGGCCGTAATTTACTGTAAAAATATATTACTTCAACATAAAATGATTTCGTTATGGGGAAAAAGGGAATCAGGTTCCATGTTTCCAGGTGGTAGCTCCCTTTTTGGCCTGCATTTGCTACTTGCTATAATCATCTCAAATTTGAAGCCTATAGTGCTTATTAAAATAACCATTATTTACAAATTAAATCTAATTTATTCACCTTAGTGGAGAACGAAATTACATGATATAAATGATTACAAATATATTTTTTAATTAATTTTAATTGATACTTGTTTCCTACTTCAATATTATTCAACTAATTAATAATAAGAAAACTCGAGCCGGCTCTCAAGTTTACGAACAATTACGAATAAGTTCGAACTCGGCTTATCAGAAAACTCAGCTCGAAAAACTCGAGTTCGAGTTCAGACTATGTATTGTCGAACCGGCTCAACTCATCTACACCCCTAATTATACTCGTAATATTTTACCATTGAGCTATGTATATATATATACATGGTGTGTCTCTATCATACTTTAGAGTTTAGATAATAATAAGGGCAAAATGCACTTTGCCCCCTTAAAAAACTTACAATTTGCACTTTCCCCCCTAAGAAACCGAAAAAGAGACTCTCCCCCTTCCAAATTGTGTCCCAGTTGCACTTTGCCCCAAAATTCGAATTGCAGTGTTTTTTTCACCGGATTTCAAATATCTCCGTGCACTTAAGGGGTATATGCGTCATTTTAGGGTATATATGTTTTTCTTTTAAAATTTTCACCTGAGTATAAATTCCTCCTCCTAAATTGTAAGGACTAAATTGCAATTTAGAACTTTCTTAAGAACCCTAACCCCCTTCCTTCTTCCCACCACCGCACCACCACAACCACCACCTCTGCCACCGCACTTCATCATCATAAAAAATCGTCATCAGCTCTAGAGCAAAAGACCCATCAACTAATGCTTGCTCTCACTATTTTCAAGTTCTTCAAAACACTAGTTTTCTTCGCCACAGCCATAACCTTCATTACGCTCACACCATTGTTGCTCAATTTTCGTATTCCCATTATTAATTTTTGCAGCTCGATTGATGTCGCTCCCGCCTTCTGCATCACCAAAATCGACCATTTCTGCAACAAGGAAGACGACGACGTTAATTGCATATAAATCACTCCAATTTCTTCGCCCACCTAAAATCATATGTGCTATGTTCGACGATGGATTGTTTGAATTTAATGTTAGAAGGCGGATTATCCGGATCTGGGCTGAGTTCTTCGTGGTGCTGTAGCAACTGTGGTGTGGTGGTGTTGCGTGGCTGCTGGTGGCGGAACAAAAGATGGGGTGGATTCTACGTGGTGGTGTTGGGTGGCTGCTGGTGGCGGAACAGAAGGTGGATGCAGAGTTGTTTGGGGGTCGAAATTGGTGGGGGAGGTGCCACGGGAAGAAGATTACTATTTTTTTTTTTCTTTTATTTTTTCAGTTATATTGAATTTATATTTTTGCATTATGTTTCTTTAAATTTCAATACTATTAAAACTTTATTAAACAATAATGAAAATATTTGCAACATGAATGACAAATATGAAAGTATTTTTGGAATTATGCAAAGTTGAATATATTGCATTAAAAACTATAATTTGTAAATGAAAAAAATTAAACAAAGAAATAAATTCTTTTAAGGAAAAATACGTTTGCACCCTTAAATCTTTTTAAATGGATGGAAAAGATGATTTGACGCATATACCCCTAATTTGATGGAGAAATTTGATTTCCGGTGAAAAAAAACACTGGAATTCTAATTTTGGGGCAAAGTGCGACTGGGGCACAATTTGGAAGGGGAGAGTCTCTTTTTCGGTTTCTTAGGGGGGAAAGTGCAAATTGTGAGTTTTTTAAGGGGGCAAAGTGCATTTTGCCCTAATAATAATGCAGTTGCATTTGTGCAAGTGGGAGATGTCGTCTTTAACCAATTGTTGGCCATAGAGATGATTTAATTATGTGGATGCCGATAGCATCCTAAAAAGGTGATTTTAATAATAATTTAAATTAAATTAAAAATTAAATAAAGTGTACACTTTCATTCTTGAAGAGTCGTTCCCATCATTAGGAAAGCCCTGAAAAGGATTGAACAGTTGTTTGGAATAATTATTAATTCATTAAATCAGCCAATCGATTAATTAACAAATGTATTTAATTATATAAATTTATATAAATATTTAGTGAAAACCGTGTGACATAATTAATTTTATTTGTTATAATTGGAGCGGCGCCTCATACTTTAATTGATAATTAATTGTCACCATCTCTTACGTCGAAAGAGTTGAGAAGTAGTTGAGTTCATCTTTTTTATTAATTAAAAATTATAATAGTTTAATTTTTTTTTTTATCACTTAAAGCACACACTTTGGACGACATGTAACATAATTTCCACTAGCTAGTCTCACGTGGGATATATTACATTGGCAGCTCAGAAATACGGCAAAACAATTATTTCTTTATAATTATTTAATTACAAACTGATAATTTCATTAATTATCAAAAAAAAAACTGATAATTTCATATATAAATAATAATGAATAATGAAAAATGGGCTTAAATATTGTGGAAATTGGGCGGCCCAGCCAACTCTGAAATCAAAATATACTCTTTTCTTACTAGGCTTTTCAGTCCAACAACCTTTATTTTTTTTCGTCTGACATAGTAATTAAATTCGTTATAATAATCAACATGAGATTTATTATTATTATTATTATGAAATAGTAAATTTGACTGAAGAAAAAATCACACTGACGCAGAAAACAAAATTGCCTTTGACATTTTAGATAGAGTATCCATGTTAGAGCATCTCCCACCCATCACCAAATCCCATATTTATCATCTAATTTAGGTGTTTTTAGTCTCCCAACCTAAATCTCTAAATCACCATTACACCTAAAATTATAGTGATTTAGTTTAGTCTCCCACCCTGGTCAAACTCTATATCACTATATCCCTAAATCCTATATTTTCACCAAATTTTTTGGTGAAGAAATTTTCATCTCCCACCCATCCACCATTTTACCATTTTTTCCACCAAATCCTATTTTTTCTATCAAATATAGAAGTGAAAATAGGATTTGGTGTAATTAACACCATTTTATGCTTAGCATATAAGATTATTATATTAACTAATTTCATGTGGTTACCAACTTATAAATATGCTTATAGTAAATATATTAGTGTTAATTAGTGAATTAGTTTTCAAACAAGTTTTTAACGAGGCCCCTATTATCTATGAAATATTTTTTTGGACAAGAAAAAGGTAGTAATGTTTTTATGATTAATTTATGTTGTAATATTTTTATGATTAATTTATCTCGTAAGGGTTTTACGCAATAATTAACGAAATTATTGTTTATTTGTGGTTTTATTATATGTATAATAATCTAAGTAGATTTTTATTCATGTTTCAATAAATTTTTGATACTTATCATAATTTTTAAATTATACACTTAATAAAATCATTGTTTAAGATCAAATTCATAATCAATATTTTGGTGATAAAATAGACTAAATTTACAATTAACATTAAACTTATAATGTTGTAATATATTTGGTGAAATGCCATGGGAGATCAAACCAAATCATATTCTCTATAAATGGTAAAATGGTGAAATATTAATATTTTATTATTTGGTGTAAAATTTGATGGAATTGGTGGGAGACTAAATACACTATTTTGTCACTAAAAATAGAGAAATTATAGAATAGTGTGCTACGGGTGGGAGATAACACAATTTTTTCACCACCATAAATAGGATTTGGTGGAAAAATGGTGTTAAGGGTGGGAGATGCTCTTAGTCTATTTATTAACAAAAAAAAAAAAAAAGTTAGCAAAAAAAAAAAGCCTTGTAATATGCAATTATATTATCATTATTATTATTATTTTAATTTAATTAAAATTACAAATTTTAAGAAGTGTGTACTGTGTACAGTACAGCAAAACTTGATAATTGAAGAAGGCCGGTGGGTCAAAGGTCAAAAAAGACAATTAATTTTCTGTGGAGGACAAAACCGTCATTTCAACGTCACTGCAAATTGACGACCGGACATAAGCAGTAACCGGACAAGAAAATATAGTCCGCCTCGTCATCGGCCCACCATAGGTAGTTTTATCCGTCCCGTTGCAAATTTCCCTTAAGCCCAAACAAACCCTTACCACCATTTGAAATTTTGTTAACGCCGTAATCCAAAATTCAATCGCCAAAAAAAAAAAAAAATCAGTGACCAAAACCACGACGTAACGTAACACAACTCAGTTTACCAACAACAATGCCTGCCGAAATCGCGTGTCCGTCGGCCCCACGCGCCCTACACCCCGGCGACGATCCCTTTTCCTTCCACAAAATTATATCCCCACGCGCTTTCGCCATCCGGCGCCCCCTCCCCTCCCCTTTGCCGCACTTACTTTTTTATCTTTTACCTACTTCCCTTTCCTCTCTCTCTCTCCTCTCTCTCTCTCTCTCTCTTTCACCCCCTTTATTCTCCGTCCAATTGAATTGGATTTCTCTCATCTGTTAATTAGGGATTTTTAGGTATGGGTGATTTAACGGAATCGTCGACTCCTCAGGCGCCGCCGTCGGCGTCGTCTTCACGGCAAGTTCCCTTCCGTGAGGACTGCTGGACGCAGGAGGCAACTTCCACGCTCGTCGACGTTTGGGGACGGCGTTATTTGGAGCTCAACCGCGGCAATCTCCGACAGAAGGATTGGCAGGAGGTGGCCGACGCCGTCAATTCACGCCACGGCCTTACGAAGAAGACTCACCGCACCGATGTCCAGTGCAAAAACCGGATCGATACTCTGAAGAAGAAGTACAAGGTGGAGAAATCGAAGATCTCCGACTCTAACGGAACCCTAACGTCGTCCTGGCCTTTCTTCCCCCGTTTGGATCATCTAATCGGACCTAATCTCAACAAAACCCCAAACAAAACCGCGCAGGCGGCCTCGCCGCTGCAGTCGTCTCAATTCACGCCGCCGATGTCGTTGCCCTCGCCTCCGATGGGCGTGCCTCTACCCTACCGCAAGCTGCTGACGTCGGCGATGGTCACGCCGGTGAATTTGCCGATCCTGCCTCAGAAGCGCCCCTTGCCGTTGCAGGTGGCGGACGAGTCCTACTTCAGGCGGAACTACTCGGCGATGGCGGCCGCAGCTGCGGCGGCGGAGGACGAAGCGGAGGCGGAGGAAGACGACGGTGAATCGGAGGGGGAGGAGGAAGCTGCAGAGGGCAGCGATAGGGCGGTGGAGGAGGAAGAAGAAGGAGGAGAACATGGGATGAAGAGATTGGCCAAGGCGATTGAGAGATTTGGCGAGATTTACGAGAAAGTGGAGAGTATGAAACAGAGGCAGATGATTGAGCTCGAGAAACAGAGGATGCAGTTTGCCAAAGATTTGGAGGTTCAGAGAATGCGGTTGTTTATGGATACTCAAGTCCAGCTCGAAAAAATCAAGCAGGCCAAACGATCTGGATCCAATGACGGTACGACTAAAAGATTTAGTCTTTTGTGATGAATTATTGCGTTGTTCTTCGTTAATTATACGTTAGAATGCATAATGTGTTACGTTACAATTCGCATGCAGAATTTATTGTTGATTCCTTTTTTTTTGGACCTTTTATTGTACTAAATTATGGATTTTGTTAGTGTTCATGATTTCGGTTTGTTTGCCTCGTGTTTTGCTTATAGGATAGTGGATAAATGGACTTGCTACTTGATAGATAAGTGAGTCGAAGCTTGCATTTAGTTAAGAGTAGCCAAATCAAAGTCGAGTATTTGAATGTTAAGTGTAAGTAATGGATGTTTCTTGATTAAGTTTGTTTTGCTTTCGTACGAAGAATTGAATTTCGCTTTGATTCGTAAATTTTCTGGCTAATGAGGTGTATAATGTATGTATGTGAATCTATATGTACATTGACAATAAATATGTAATTTCGTACGATGCAATTCGTCTTAGGTTCTTTGCCTTCTTTAGTGATTCTTCATTGAGCTTACGTCTATAACGCTAACATGTGATACTGCGCATCATCTAATCAAATCCGTATTTCTTATGGAACGTATTTCTTACGGGGTGATTTAATCTGTCAACGCTGCAGATATTTATAGCTAGCAATAAGGAAGAGGAGGAGTCGAGCATCCATTGCAGGAATTGGGTGGGGCTTGAATCCTTTATCGTCCCTGTAACTTCATTTTCATTCTTGTGAATAATCGAAGATTTCTGACCTGAAAAAAACTCCGAAGATTTATGTTCTTATGAACTAGACTTTGATATGTTGTAGTTTTATCGTTTATTTTTCACTGTCACTGCAGAACTTCTCAGTTTCTACTTTTTAGTAGTGTAGTCATCTTTCTATTATGCCTAATTATAAGAGTTAATCCTTTTCTTGAGGATTAAACATTGGTTTATATAACTAATTATTATGTTTTAATAACAATGGGCTTCAATTTCTTGTAATAAGAAATGGGCTTATTATCTATATAGAAAGTTGATGGCCCAAAACATACAGTATTTACTATTTAGTACAAAATATGAAACTGAAGGTCCAATTTTTGCATTAATGGTATCACATAGAAGTCAGAATCTGCTTTCACAATTAAGACTTGTCTGCATTGGCTTTTAAGGGAGCAAGAAGTAATTTCACCAAGAACAAATATTAGTACTAATGTACATCTGTAATTTTTAAGATATACAAGTATTCCCCAGCAGCTTTACACTTGAATGTTATTTATTTAATTTAGAACTGGATCATGAAAACTCGAAGACCCCCCGACAAGAATTGATTCCAGTAACGGTTATTTTGCTCCGTCTCCATGCGAATTTCTCACCTTAATTCCTGCAAAATATGTTCAGAAGGTGAGAGCTTCAAAATTAACCTTCGAGGAAATGAAAAATAGACAATGTTTAAGAGTGGAACTGTTCGTTACTCTCGACTCCAGTCGAACAGTAATTAACAATCGTTAGCAAAATTCGTAAACGACTAGCCTATTGATTGTTAAAAAGTATTTCCATTATCAGTCTTACACGCACGTATAAATCGCAAGAAATATTGAAGATAGTCACTAATATATTTGGTGACAACATATAATATAGGGTAAATTACGGCTACCCCATGAGGTAAGGTTAAATTAAATTACAACCGCCCCCTCAACTATGAATCTTCTTAATTATACGACCACCCTTGCGGTGTCAAAATTTAGTGGAATATTCTGCAGTTTGTATTCGTTTCACCCGATTCGAGCTCCACAATTAGAAACAAGATGATTATATGACGCGTCTCTTGGCTTGTAAATATCAGACTGTGGTGCATCACATACTGCATTTTTGCACTAAACGAGTACAAACTAAAGAACAATCTACGGAATCTAGAAGATCCTGTTGAATTTGACACTATAAGGGTGGCTTCTAAGAAGATTCGTAGTTGAGGAGAATTGTTGCAACTATCCAAACATGAGGAATTTTCGTAATTTGACCTTACATCAGGGGTACACCATAATTTATTCTATAATATATAGTCAACAATCGGGACAAACCATTCAGTAAATTAAACACTGATCAAGTACTGTCAGTAAAATTTTAAGAGGATGAAATAGCTAATAATTAAACAAGTTGCAATATATATTTTCAGGTAACCAAACAGTACTTTAATTTGAAGGGTTTTCGACAGTTTTTATTCATCGGAGAAGAAGAAATATATGTATATATATGTATGTATGTCAAGGTTTCATGTAAAATCACACACACAGTATACAATGATTAGCTGGAAATTCTTTCATCAGGAAATATACATAGTTCATCAGAAAAAAAAAAAAAAAAAAATGAACAGTATTCTGCATTATTTGAGAGAGAAATTAAAAGTTGTATATATATTAAATCATTACTTAATTTGAATTTACTACAAGAGGATCTTTTTCCTTGAAATCTGCACCCAAATGTAAGACTTTTACCCAATTAACACTCGACCTAGTTCACAAAAAATTCCCCCAAAATTAGGGTTTTATTTAATTTATTTTTGATCTAGGGTTTCTTTATCACTACTATAGAACTATACCTTTGTGTATGTATATATATATGTATATTATTGTGATCGTGTGGTTTCTGGCCAATCAGATCCCTGACATATTTTTCTGCACACACACTAAAATTTCCTAATCAAGAAAGCTGAAGCTGAATTTTGATGTGACCATATATAATCAAGAAAGCATATATAATTAATTTAAATTTATGAGTACTAAATTAATTTAATTACCGGATTTGGATTCTTGATCATCTCATGATTAATCATCTTCTTTTTCTTCTTCTTCTTCTTAAACAAAATCCCTCTCGCCTTAGCCTGGCACTCCTTCACTTCCCGTAAATAAACCCTAATCGCTCCGTTCCCAAAAGGGTTTCCCTCCGGCGGACCGCCGTGCTCCTCGTAAGCCGCCCTAAGCCGCCCGATCAAAGCGTCGAGGCTGCCCCAAGCCTGCCTCAACGGGCAGGTGCACTGCCCCGGAGGGTCGGGCTGCCCGAAAAACGGGCAGCCATGCAAGTGAACCTTAGTCTTTCCGAACTGATCTAGGTATCTGAGGAATTCAAGAACATGGTTGTAGCTGCAGTTAGGCAATGAAAGTGGAGGATTTTGGTTCTTCAAGTACTGCAAGAAAGTGTTCCAATCCCGTCTCTTTTGAGACTCGTATCGGCTGAGCGAGGGTCTACCGTTGCTCGATGAACCCTCGGTTGGATTCTTCGACACGGTTTTGCCGGAAGAATTCATCGCTTTGACGAAGAAGAAGAAAGAAAGAAAGAAAGAAAGAAAGAAAGAAAGAGAGAAAATTTGTTTTAGTGAGGGAACAAGATAGGGCCCTCTATTGAGTATGAGGGTGCTTTAATTTCAATAAAAGTTTACTACTATAGCTTGTGATAACGTTAATAATGATAATATAATTATTTATACATAATTCCGATTCCGATCCGTCTTTATTCAATTTTATATATATTTATAATTGTCACATATAATATTTTTATTTTATTTATTATTAATTGACAACTTTTTCAATAGTGACTATATATGTAATGTAAGAACATTTTTTAGTTATGACTTATGATAGTGCAATTGGTAATTTTAATTTGAAAATGCATGAAAATTGAAAAGTGCATAATTACTTAAACATTCTTTGAGTTGAATTACTAGCTATATGTAATATATGCATGTAATTAATACTATTTATATATTTATGTTTTTTGTGATTTATTATGCTTCGTTTTTATATTATTTTAATTTATTATATTATTCTTTCGAAGAGATAATTGATTTTCAACTGAGTTTGCTATATTGTAAGAACAAAGAGGGTTTTGGGGAAATTAATATATGAATTACTCACTGATGGCTTAGTTTATAAAACCTCAACTACTGTTCTTACTTCTTAAAAATTTCTGTTTCTGCAACTACATTATTAATTAACCAATTTGAAATTAATTTACTTTTCTATGTAGAGTCATTTTGATAAATTAGTTGGTCTCGTGTAAATAACTTGAGAAGCTATTCCCTGTCAAAACTAAGTGTTAGGCTAAGCTTATAAGCAGTTAAAAAGAGCTTTAAAACTCTTTCAAAGTGTTTGGTTTGATAATTCTTTTCTAAAAAAACTAAAGAATTCGAAAAATAAGTTGCTGGAAAACAAATAATTTTTTTTAAAGATTTTATAATGAGTAAAAAAATATCTTATAAGATCATTATCTAAAGTCCAAAAACACTTTAAAAATTAATTCTAATAATTAGAAAAAATAGCAGTAATTCAACTTTAGTTCTATTTATGATTTTAGCTACTTGTACTTATAAACATTAACTATTTTATTTCTATTAATTTTCCTTCTTCCCCTTTGATTGCGGCCGCGGGGGTTGATTTAATATATCCATAGACTTACATAGTTAAATATGATGGTCAATTAGGTGCAATTAATTTTCTCATTATTTCCAAATTTCTCGCCAAACATAGCATTAATTCAAACCTCTTACTCTCTCCGTTCCGTTTTTTAGCTTTGCACAAAAATTAAGAATTTCATTAAATGTGTCATGATTTCAGGAAAATGTATGCTTTTAGACTAAAATGACATTGTCTTATAATTAATAATTGAGGGAAATTAGTGTAAAAAAGAGTGCTGGAAAAAGTTAATAAGGGTATAAAATAGAAATTAAGTAATTAATGAAGTATTGAAAATTTAAAGTGACATATAATATGGACGAAAAAAATTCTCAAAAGTGACAAATATTATAAAACGGATGGAGTATAAGGTAACTTTTGGGGTAAAATCTCCTAATACAAATTAGCAACAAAGTAAATCAAGGAAACTGTACACACTGCATTTTTTTTTTTATTATAACATGAAAATGGTGCACAAAAAACAAATACATAAAATAATGAAAAAAAATGACCATTTACTTCCGGTCACAATCAACAAACAAATCAATCGCATTATTCAAACAAAACCAAATTAAAAAAAAAAAAAAAAAGGGAAATTCTACTTAGAAATCTTGATATACCCGGTATAAGAACTATTGGCCACTCTAGGCAAAGATCCAAGCTCAGGCACCACCAAACACTTAGAAGATTCAGCCTTATAAAACAAGCCCAAACACTTGCAATCTTTACTGCACTTATCTTTACATTGGGTCAAACTCACCGGCCCACTCCCTTCATTATATTCACTAGTGAAATGTTCCACCCCATCCACCTTGTAGTAATCCACATTTGTTGCTCCCTTACACGGCGGCAACGGTGGCGGCGCACAACCCTTGCTCCACCCCAACAACCCTTTCGCTGTCGGACAAGCCACGCATTGAAAATCTTCGCAAACTCCTAGTGATCCACACCTTTTAGGCAATTTGCACTCGCTTCCATGCGCATTAGTATCTTCGCTCCTATCAAGTGTCACGTAAGTCACCTCCCACGCACCCCAGTCGACGTTCTCGTCGTACGTGTAAATTCTTAAATTACCGTCCGTGTCAATTCTCAGCATCGAGTACGTGGTGTTGTATTTGGGTCGAGTTAGTATATGCGTTCCAGAACTTTCCGATTTGCTCATGTTGTAACCGAACCCCACCTCGAACGCAGAACTCCCCTCGCTTTCGGGTGCAGTGTAGAAACCAAAGAAGTCCAAAGCCCCCTTGCCAACACCAAATTCACTTGACTTGTGGTACATCATGGGCTTTTGTGTGTTCTTTGTTTGGTAGTACAAAGCCCAATGCCTTTGCTCCATGACAAAGCTGTAGGGCCCGTTAAGGGGCTCTGCCTCAGACAATCTGCTCACGAGCCTGGTGGGCCCGCCTGTTGCTCTCAAAGACTGGCCCACCAGGAGCGTGTCAGTTGGGTGGTCAAAACTCTGCCACACGTATCTGCCCGCGCTGTCATAGAGTACTATGTTACCCTCGGGAAGTATCTCCAGACCTACCACGCCCTTGTTGGCGGTGTTTGTCTGCCACACGACCGTACCGTTGGCTTCGGCCAGGACGAGGTTTCCGTCTGGGCCGAGGCTTATGGTCGCGTTTTCGTGAACCGGGCTGCCCCGGTTCGCATCCCAAACCCATCTCATGACGGATTCGGATCTACGGTGGCCCATCCGGAGCCCGAGTATGAAGGCATCGGGAGTGGTGTTGTAGAAGCAAAGGTTGAACGGGAAAGTACCGATTTCCAAGAAACGGTAGTCGGCCGAGTACTCGACGCTGTATTCGCCCAATGGGCCTTGGTTTACGTACTTGAATGTTCTAGAAGGTGGGACAATGGCTTGAGAAGAGATGGATAGAACAATGATTAGTGTGGTGAGAAATAAAAGGCGATGAAACAAAGAAGACATGGTTTTTGTAATTTGTTGTTGTTGTCATGTAATAAGAGAAGTGTTGTTCTATTTATAGAATTATTATTTATCCATCTCCAAAAACTATTGACTTTTGAAAATATAAAGGAATGATCCACGCACGCATCTTCTTCCCCTATATAGCAACCTGGTATTTGCGTTGACTTTGACCAAACGATCGATTCTGATCATCACATTTTGATTGCCCTTTGGGGTTGATTGAAGGGAAACCATTGAATTAATGCCAAATACTGGGAATATACAAACTCCAAGTTATGATAAAGAAAAGCAGAGAATTAGCAAAGTCAGAGCTTAATAAGGTAAATTACACATACACACCTAAGGTATGTTAAAATAAATTTAAGATCCTTATAGTATTGATAATTATAATCACACCCCTTAAACTTTACCGGAGTCAAAATTTTATGTCCAGGGCATGATATGCACTATATTTTTTTTCCTGTGTGCCCGTTAATGCTACTATAGACGAAATTTATAAATCCTATATAAAATAATAATGATTTAAGAAATGTTAGGAGAACTATGTCACCCTCCAACTCTTTATCACTGTCTAAAATTAATAGTCCGTTAAAACCCTAACGGAATAATTTATACAATACATTATTTATTAGGGTTTCTAACAATATTTTAGAGGTGATTGTAATTACCGATACTATAGAGATCTTAAAATTATTTTAGCATATCTTATGGGTATAGATATAATTTACCCTTATCTATGTATAAGTACATAGGACATAGTATTAGTAATCAACTATCCACTCGGTTTCCAGCTGTAATACAGTGGGAATACATATATATATATATATATATATATATATATATATATATATATATATATATATATATATATATATATATATATATATTAAAACGACTAAGGTTTGACAATAAAAAATATATCACTTGTATTGCAAGAATGCTGCGGGTTATCAGGAAAGGAAATGATTAAGAGATTAGATTAGATTAAAACTTGTATTAATCAACTAATTAAGCCACGTCATGGCATGACTGTCCAATGATACTGTCGGCTAGATGAACAAACTGTTTAATACTCATGCTGGAAATTATACTCAACTATTTAAATGTGTTTTTTCGTTAGATCTTGTTTGTAAGATAAATTACAATTATTTAATAATTATGTTTTATCTTCTTTATTATCGACAAAACGGACAAGTCGAGGTGATGCCATTTTCCATCGGTCAACTTGGGCTGATCGATCACTTGGGGCTTCTTTTGCGCGACTCCTTCAATTGTTGAAGCTCGTGTTGCATACATGGACAAACCTAGTGGCATTTTGATGGGGGGCCAAAATATGGATGTGAATTAAGAGAAGAAAAAAATATATTTTCTGGACTAAAATATACAAAGTTTAAATCCTGTTAGGGCCAAAGTCTATTAATGAATAGATAAAAAAGAATTAACAAAAAATTGGTAAAAAGAATAAATTTTGCAGAGGCGGAAGCCCCCCAAGGCTATACATGGGTCTGCCCCTAGTTGCATACGTTTGATTTTGGCGTCTTAGTCATTCACAACCTCATTTGGCCGAGCTTTTGGCTCATTCCCGGCTATCGTGACCCACTAGGGCGAGCTCTTAGCCTGTTTTAATTATTGTGATCCCTCAAACAAACTATGTGACCCACTTTACTCCATTCACCTAATTGGGCTTCCAGTTGTTTGGGCTGAGAATGTGAGGGTTCAGGCCCAGTGCTGAACGAACGCTCATTAGACCTCTCTCGACAATTTGCACGCGATCAATACAATTATTGGTTCTTATAAAATCATAAAATAAAAAAATAAGATACGCAATTAATTGATATATACCGTATTTGTACTTAATAATGATCATAGAAAAGCTGCTAAAAATTATTGCACCTCGTGTATTAAATAATTACTACAATTCCATATACATGAATTGTAGTACTAGTTGTTTAGGTACTTGTCAAGAACTAGACCACCCTTGAATTGTCATGAAACAAATAAATAGCCAAATTAAATCAGCATGATCCATAATTTTTATTTTATTTTTGTATTTTTGTTGTTTATTTAATAATGAGCCATGTGCTTGTTGACTACGATGGAACGAAAACAAATGTGGAATTGTAGTGAACAATAATTTTAAATTCAATAATAAACCCTACCAAATAATCAAATTTATTACAAATGATGGAAAAATATGGTCACCTTCTCAGAGTAATGTTAAATTATAAAAAAAATTATATGTTTGAGTAATTACAACTACCCTTTAACTATGAATCTTCATACACGTTCACTCTTATAGTGTCAAATTTCACATAATTTTTTAGATTCTTCTCTAGTTTGTACCCGTTTTGTGCAAAAATGTAGTTTTTTATGCACCATAATCTGATATTTACAAGTAAGAAGACATTATATATCCAAACAATTTACAAATTAATTCTAAATATAAGATGTAACCACTTATACGCTCTAAAAACAGTTTATTAGATATGAGAGTTTATCAGCTGTTTAGAATAAATTTTACTTAATTGAGATTATAAACCGGCAAAAAATGTGTTAAATAAATTAGTCAAAAAATAAGAAAAAAGAGCAGTAGTTCAACTTTAGTTCTATTTATGATTTTACCTACTTGTATTTATAAACAATAACTATTTTATTTCCATCAATTTTCATTCTTCCCCGTTGATTGCGGGAGTTGATTTAATATATCCATGGACTTACATAGTTAAATATGATGGTCAATTAGTGCAATTAATTTTCTCATTATTTCCAAATTTCTTGCCAAACATAGCATTAATTCGAACTTCTTATATGCTAACCTTTGGTGTGTGAAATCTCCTAATACAAATTAGCAACAAAGTAAAACAAGAAACTGTCCACACTGCAATAATTTATTTTTTTATTATAACATGAAAATGGTGCTAAAAAAACAAATATAATAAATAAACTGACCATTTACTTCCGGTCACAATCAACAACAAATCAATCACAGTATTCAAACAAAACCAAATTAAGAAAAAAAAAAAAAAATCTACTTAGAAATCTTGATATACCCCACGTGAGAAGCATTCGCCACTTTAACCAAACCACCAAGCTCAGGCACCACCAAACACTTGGAAGACTCAGCCCTATAAAACAAGCCCAAACACTTGCAATCTTTACTACACTTATCTTTACATTGGGCCAAACTCACCGGCCCACTCCCTTCATTATACTCACTAGTGAAATGTTCCACCCCATCCACCTTGTAGTAATCCACATTTGCTCCACCGTTACACGGCGGCAACGTTGGCGGCGCACAGCCCTTGCTCCACCCCAACAACCCTTTCGGCGTCGGACAAGCCACGCATTGAAAATCTTCGCAAACTCCTAGTGATCCACACCTTTTAGGCAATTTGCACTCGCTTGCATGCGCGTAAGCATCCTCACTCCTGTCAAGTAGCACGTACGTCACCTCCCATGCACCCCAGTCGACGTTCTCGTCGTATGTGTAAATTCTTAAATTACCGTCCGCATCAACCCTCAGCATCGAGTACGTGGTGTTGTATTTAGGTCGGGACAATATAGATGTTCCGGAGCTGTCCGATTTGCTCATGTTATAAACGAATCCCAGCTCGAACGCGTAATTCCCATCGTTTTCGGGTGCGCTGTAGAAACCAAGGAAGGCCAAAGCCCCCTTGCCGTTACCAAATTCACTCGACTTGTAGTACATCATGGGCTTTTGTGTGTTCTTTGTTTGGTAGTACATAGCCCAATGCCTTTGCTCCATGACAAAGCTATATGGCCCATTAAGAGGCTCTGCCTCAGACAATCTGCTCACGAGTCTGGTGGGCCCGCCTGTTGCTCTTAAAAACTGGCCCACCAGGAGCGTGTCAGTTGGGTGGTCAAAACTCTGCCAGACATATCTCCCAGTGCTGTCGTAGAGTACTATGTTACCGTTGGGAAGCGTGTCCAGACCTACCACCCCCTTGTTGGCGGTGTTTGTCTGCCACACGATCGTACCATTGGCTTCGGCTAGGACAAAGTTTCCGTCCGAGCCGAGGCTTATGGTCGCGTTTTCGCGGACCGGGCTACCCCGGTTCGCATCCCAAACCCATCTCATGGCGGATTCGGATCTACGGTGGCCCATCCGGAGCCCGAGTATGAAGGCATCGGGAGTGGTGTTGTAGAAGCAAAGGTTGAACGGGAAAGTACCGATTTCCAAGAAACGGTAGTCGGCCGAGTACTCGACGCTGTATTCGCCCAACGGGCCTTGGTTTACGTACTTGAATGTTCTAGAAGGAGGGACAATGGCTTGAGAAGAGATGGATAGAGCAATGATTAGTGTGGTGAGAAATAAAAGGTGATTTAACAAAGAAGACATGGTTTTTGTAATTTGTTGTTGTTGTCATGTAATATGAGAAGTGTTGTTCTATTTATATAATTATTATTGTTTATCCATATATCTCCAAAACTATTGACTTTTGAAAATATAAAGGAATGATCCACGCACGCATCTTCTTCCTCTATATAGCAACCTGGTATTTGAATTATCATTGCGTTGACTTTGACCAAAGATCGATTCTGATCATCACATTTTGATTGCCCTTTGGGTTTGATTGAAGGGAAAGTGGGAAACCATTGAATTAATGCCAAATACTGGGAATATACAAACTCCAAGTTATGATAAAGAACTGCAGAGAATTAGCAAAGTCAAAGCTTAATAAGGTAAATCACACATACACCCCTGATATATGCTAAAATAACTTTAAGGTCCTTGTGGTATTGATAATTATAACCACACCCCTAAAACAATTACTGAAGTAAAAATTCATGTCATGGGGACTGATATGCACTATATTTTTTTCTTTTGTGCCCATGAATGATACTATAGAAGAAAATTTATAAATTTTATATAAAATAATAAGTATTTAAGAAATGTTAGGAGAACCATGTCATCCTCTAACTCCTTACAACAGTCTAAAATTAATAGTCCGTTAGAACCCTAACGAAATGATAACTTATACAATGCATTATTCCATTATGGTTTCTAACAATATTTCAGGGGTGATTGTAATTACCAATACTATAGGGATCTTAAAATTATTTTATATATCTCAGGGGTGTAGGTGTAATTTACCTTATATATATATATAAGTACATAGGACATAGTAATCAAATATCCACTCGGTTTTCTTAGCTGTAATACAGTGGGGGTGGGAAAATATATTAAAACTACTAAGTTTTGACAATAAAAAATATGTCACTTGTATTGCAAGAATGCTGTGGGCTATCAAGAAAGGAAATGATGAAGATTAGATTAGATTAAAATTTGTATTAATCAACTAATCAAGCCACGTCATGGCATGACTGTGCAATGATACTGTCGGCTAGATGAACAAACTGTTGAATACTTATGCTGGAAATCAAAATCACTATTTAAATGTGTTTTTTTGTTGGATATTGTTTGTAAGATAAATTATTGATTAATTAATAGGGTATATTAGATATACCCCTTAAACATTCAAATAATAGGGGTAGACCCAAACATAAATTTGTCATTTTGATAAAAACCCAAATTTTTCTAAATTACATAAGTACCCTCAATCAAATCCCACAAATCCCGTTACTTTACCTTTTGAAATAATATCAAATCCCTCTCTATTTTCCCGTTAAAACACTATCCCCACAAAACCACTATCAAAATCTGCAAACGTCCCAAAGAAAACCAGAAATTTATACACCGGCGATTGACGATTTTCTGCACTCCGAAATCCCTCCCTATTTTCCCGCCGGGTTCGCCGCTTCCACCTCCGACCCCCGCCACCTCCGTCACCGTTGTCGCCGGTGGCCAACGACGATAACAACGATATTGGCCATAAGCAACACCTCCACCATCGCCTAGTCTTCCACCACCACCACATCCGACCACCTCCACCTCCAAGACCGCCAAAAACGACCAAGACCTCCGCTGCTCCCGCATCCAAGGTCGTAACAATCAATTTAGGGGTGATATCGTCGTTGCCCGCCGTCGCCGCTCGTCACTGCTCCAATCTAGGGTTACTCAAATCTAGGATTACTCAAATCTAGGGTTTTGATAATTCTTCGGCCCATAGTTGATTAACGAGATGCATAGTCGAATTACATCTGTATTAATAGACTATCCCATATCATTTAATAGACTATCCCACTGGCATAATTTGACTATGGATCTCGTTAATCGACTATGGGCCGAAGAATCATCAAAACCCTAGATTTGAGAAGTGACGGCGGCGGATTTAAAATTAATAGACTATTTCATTTAATAGACTATCCCATGTATCTAATTCGACTATGGGTTTAGTTATTTGACTATTGGAAAAATAATAATATATATGGAAACTGAATAATATGTTTGTTCGAAATACTAATCAATTAGGGTAATTTTCCTTATTATATGAAAACGATTAGGGTAAATAATAATATATATGAAAAAATAATAATATATATGGAAACTGAATAATATGTTTGTTTGAAATACTAATCAATTAGGGTAATTTTCCTTATATCATGTAATAGACTATCTTATTGATCTAATTCGACTATGGATCCCGTATTATTCAACCATATAGTATATTAATAATTTCAATATAGTACATTAATCTGCTATGATAGTATATTACGGTTATAGTAGTGATATGAAATTGTGTTACAAACAATATACCACTGAAATGACAAGAACATTGAGAACAAAACCAACGTAAAGTATTCCAACATAACCAATAAAATAGTACATTAATAATCTCATAATTTCAATCTAGGGTTTTGATAAAATACATAAAACACATCATAACACAATCAAACCAATATGTCGAGTTAAAAAACTCTAGTACATTAATAATCTCATGATAGTATAATAAAATGATAATGGTAGTATCATACGGTATTCATAATAGTATACTACTGTATTACAACGGTTTAACACTTAACCGAAGTTGCCGAGCCATTACATCGTAAACACCTCTTTATAGCAACCAACCCACCAAACCTCAACAAAATCCGTACGAAATTCGCCATCGAAAAAACCTAAAATCATGAAACAAAATTAAAAATGCAGAATACTAAAAAATGATTAAATAGACTGCAAATACATTTGAATGACAATACATTAATATCATCAAAAATAAACTTAAAATGCAAAATCCATACGCTAAATTAAAAAAAACTACGAAATATATTTTAATGTACTACCGAGCACACTAAAACCGACTGTTGTAAACAAATAAACCAACTATCTATTAGGATAGTAGACTAAAAGTCTCGCTTTTAGCTTCATAATTTTATTATTGAATTAATAAAATAATTTATTATCATTTTATGAGAATCTGCACTAGCTCAATGCATTTAATTGATTGGTTGTCAATTAATTAAAAGCATAAGTCTAATATTCTAATAGTATTCGAGATGGTGTGCTACGGCGCACAGAAAGATCATTTCGAAAGTTCGTTTAGAATATAAAGATAAACGTTCACAATCTAGATGGAAATGGACTAACCATAGGTAAAAGATTGTAGCACAATATTTAAGTGATTGGTCTTGATCACAGTAAACAGAGAATAACTTTTGTAGTTATTGTTTTGACTTATTGTGCTAGCACACCCGGCACATGTGTTGAACCGGACAAAGTGAAATAATTGTTTCATCACTGTTCATAAATGAAACTGTATTATTTCTAGTTGACAGTATATTACTTACTCTCTTAATCCCTAGATAATTAACGTACACATTTAATTGATGATCTCTACTTTGATGTCACAATGGGAGAGATTCCTATATTGAGTCAAATGGCCCCCGATGCGTTGGGTAGAGGCATTAAGAATTAATAGGTGGAAATTAATTATCGAAAGGAATCCACATCTATGAAATATAGGATTGATAATAACTCTTGAGTAGCTTATAAGATTTGTTTATGCCAAGTCCTGGCCAGGTGGATTTCGTATCCGGCATACTCAAATAAGTTAGGCGGGTAAGACTCATGAAAAGAAACCATTTAATTTATTTAGCAGTGAATAAATTATTTGGTGGTTATAAGATATCTTAATGTGGGGAGAATCAAAGTAATGATCGACCGGAGCTCGAATGTAATATTTGAGAATATAAACGGGAGTTCAATAATTATTTGGTTGTGGAAAATAAATAATTATTTAATGATTAATTAAATGAATTCTTTTAAGAGTTTGAATTTAATTAATTATTAGTTGCCCGATTTATATTTTCTCCTTTAGTCCCTATTGTAGCCCGTTGGATTTTCTAATTAATCGAGAAAATAAAGTTCAACCAATATTATATATTGGAATTAATATAGCCGAAAATTAAGTTCCCATAGGACTGCAATTTTCGACTATATAGAGTTATAGAAGGAGTGGGATTTGTTTCCATGTAATCCTCTCTATTTGGGACTCTAATTCCTTGTGCTATATATAATAGAGATTAGGTTGATGAGAAAGAACTCCGAGACGCCTATTTCACGTTGGAGAGAAATATTTTTTCTCTTCTTCTTTTCTCTCTAAATTCTCGATTATAGGTTTAGATTTCTTCAAGTACAAGTCCACCCTTGTAGAAGAATTATTAATCCGGGATATACAATAGAAGATTATAGGTTTCCTCGTTCGTGCGCCGAAGATAGAAACGAATCTGCTCGCGAAAACTGTAAGTTGCTAGATTAGATTTATTCCGCTTTAAACGAATCTAATCATAGCATGTTAATAAAATTAAAACCGGCTAATCTAGAACCTCTTGCGAATTTTCATTGAATCCTGGGCTTAATACAGTTTGTACCCTTAAACTATAGGGGTGGTAACACTTACCCCCTTAAAGTTACAAATGTAACACTTACCCCCCTCATTAATGAATTTAAAGGTATAACTTTGACTTTGAATGATGTGGCATTCTTTCTTCCCAAATTGTCCTTCTAGCCATTAAATAAATAAAAATAATGAATATGTAATAATAAAAATTTCGACAACTTTGCCAAAACTTAATTTTATTATTTCAATATTGTAAATTTATGAATGAAAAAAATTGAATTTTAGTGTATTTTTGTTTTATCTTGTGTTCATTTGTAGCTAATAAAAAGTTAACGATTATTCGAATTTTAATTATGATTTTATAGTTTATATAGTTTTTTTAATGCGTATATGACTCTAATATAATCATCCCACTTTTTACTTTGAGAATCACAAAATGTATTTAAAAGTTAATAAGAAATTATAATTTAAACGTCTAAATATTTAAATATTATTTTATTAAAATTTATATTTAAGTAACTAAAATAAATTTTCAAATCAATAATTATCATAAAAAAAAATTGGCCATTTAAGCCTTGAAAATATTTTTTTTCTTTCAAATGTTTAACGTATTTAATATATTTTTAAAATATTGAGATTTTTATTTATATTAGGGTCTATAGTAACTAAAATATGGAGTTAAACATAAATCAAAATATTTTTTTAATAATTATTATATTTTATAAAATTTAGTTTTTGAAATATTATTGAGAATATTTTATTATATATGCATCAATATAATAGCTAGAAGGACAATTTGGGAAGAAAAAATGCCACATCATTCAAAGTCAAAGTTTTATCATTAAATTCATTAATGAGGGGGGTAAGTGTTACATTTATAACTTTAAGGGGGTAAATGTTACCACCCCTATAGTTTAAGGGTGCAAACTGTATTTAGCCCATAAAATTATTGGTTCTTATAAAATCATAAAATAAATAAATAAATAGTTTACGAAATTAATTGATACCTACCGAATCTGTACTTAGTAATGATCATAAAAAAAGCTGCTAAAAATTATTGCACCTCATGTATTAAATAATTACTATAATTCCATATACATGAATCGCCGTACTAGTTGTTTAGGTACTTGTCGGACTTCTATTAGAAACGAATTGTGAGGCCAAGAACTAGACCACCACTTGAATTATCATGGTACAAATAAATAGCCAAATTAAATCAACATGATCCATAATTTCAATTTTTCTTTTTATTTTTTTTGTACTTTTGTTGTTTATTTAATAATGAGCCATGTGCTTGACTACGATGGAACGAGAACAATTGTGGAATTGTAGTGAATAATCATTATAAATTCAATAGTAAACCCTACCAAATAATTCAATTTAATCAATAGGAAATTTGTGTACTATAAATGAGGGTAAATTAATGTTAAATTACGAAAAAAAATTCTCATTTTAGGTAATTACAACTACTCCCTTCAAGTATGAGGTTTATTACACGTCCACCTTAATGATGTCAAATTCAACAGAATCTTTTAGATTACGTGAAATGTTCTCTAGTTTGTACTCGTTTTGTGAAAAAATGCAGTTTATGATGCACCACAATCTGATATTTACAAGCCAATAGTCAAATCATAGGATTATCTTGTTATAAAATGTGGAGCTCAAATGGGGTAAAATTGGTACAAAATCAAGAATATTCTACATAATCTAGAGGATTCAACTACATTTGACACTATAATCGTGGAAGTGTAAGAAAATTCATAGTTGAGGTGGATGGTTTTAATTACCCAAACATGATGGGTTTTTTTCGTAATTGAAACATGATGGTTGACCGTAATTTGTCCCAATGGAGGTCAATTTAACCACCACCGACGTTGGCTATTCTCGAACACCTTCCCCAGTCTGGATCGTCGGAAAATTACTCGGTTCACCTGAAACATAATAGTTTGCTAAATGGACCCCATCATATCCTATGAATAAACTATGCTTATTTCGGCCAATATTTATCTACATCTTTAATATTTCCCCCCATTGTTTTTCCTCGGCTCTAAAAATTGCGTAGAAAACGCATAAAATCCTGGAATCCTGGGAAATAAAAGCCAGTTAAAAAGCATATTGAAGCCTTGACTGGTTATTATTATATTAAATTGCAAAATAATACTACTTCAAAAAATAAATAAATAAAACAAAATAAAATATTCCGACTTAAAAAAATAAAAATAACTAAATAAATAAATTCCATCACATTCTTTAATATGAGTTCTCATACATCAATTTTTATTACTATCTTCGAACAATTCATTAGCAGTCACAAACACTTAGATCAATTTGATTTCAGTTAATGGCTAATTAAATGCAGTGGTCACTACTTTAGTACTAATTTGCAGTCATTAATATTTCGATTCCATAAATTGAAAATCTAGATAATAAATGGGAGTGGGTGAAATTAATTGCAAGATTCCAAACACCTAAATTAAGTCAAGTACCCCCAAACCAACTAGTCAAAAGTCAACTCCACTCACTGACATACTGATGCTGTCACATTTTTTTTTTTTTAATAATACTAATTATTTAATTATAATATCGTGCAAATTAGATCTGGTAATTTAATTAGGACATCTTTGTCGAAAGAAACAAGGGGATGATAACAAGATCCAGAATTGATAGTTAAAAAATCAATTGTAATTTGTAAGGGAGACATATATATATATATATTTACCATAATACCCCTCCATCTGTTCTAATTAGTTGTCGATGTTTAGTTTAACAAGTACTAATATTCTCAATAACGTGTCTTGATTTCGGAAAAAAACACAGTAAAAGACTAAAATAACCTTGATATTTTAACGAAGTGATAAGCTATACTTAATGCTTAGAATTGAATTAATAAATTAAAATAATAAAAAATATATGGAGTAATTAATAAACTAATCCAAAAACAAAAATTGAAATTATTGAATTGATGTAGATAACTGGGCCGGGCTATTAAAAAGCCCATCCGATTTGTTCTATGATAACTTTTCTTGAGCCTAGTATAACAAATATAGTTAAATTGTGTTTGATTAAACTTATAAGTTGTTAAAAAAATTATCTAGTATAACAAACATAGTCAAATTGTGTTTGATTAAACTTATAAGCTGTTAAAAAAATTATAAAATGATTAAGAGTTATAAGCTCTTATAAAATGTTTGGTAATTTTCTTTAGAAAGTGTTTAAAAAATTCAAAAAATAAACTGCTTGAGAGCTTTTTTTTTTTTTTTTTAAGCTCATCTATCCAACATTTTCATTTTTAAAATCTTATAATTAGTAAACAAATTATAAACTTATTATTCAAATACTTTAAAATTAATTATAAAAATAAGACATAACAGTTTGGTTTACCAAACATTATATATTTTTAGTTGTTTAAAATAAATTTCGCAAACGAAAAATAAATACATCTTTACTTTATGAAAAAGCAAAAAAATCGTGAAATGTCATCATTTATACCAAAATATTAAATATAAGGAAAAACCAACATTATAATTTATAATAATAAACAAAAAGCAGAAAGGCCCATATGCTATTTTGCAATAGTTTACTAATCCGATTGGTTACCAACTTTTTTTCCAATTTTATTATTAATTAATAAATAATAAATAATAAATTATCGCCGTGACCGTGACGAGTCCGTCACGGCGGATTAAAAATTTAAATGTCATGGGAACCTCAACAGTCAACACCTCCACCACTAGGGTCAATTTCGTCATTTATTCAGGTAAAGGTCAATTCAATTCATATCATAAAGGCTATTTACGTCTTTTCACATGCACTGTTCTCCTTACTGTTTATCAGACAGTAAAACCCTCTCTCTGGAATGGCTTGCAGAGTTGGCAATGTCTTCTTCCGCCTGGCGCCTACTCCCTCCCCTTTCTCTCTCCTCTTTCTCTCTCACACACACACAAACACACACACACAGAGAAACATGAAAACATGGATAACACTTTCTCTCTCTATGCATCACTCTCTCGGCAGTTAAGCTGCTGCAATCCCCCTACCTAAATTGTTTCTCTCTCTAGCTTTCGCTACAATTTTTTTTTGTTTCTTCCCGCATTATTTCTCGCAAATCATTCCTTCATTTAATTCAGTAGATGCTATTTCGCATTTCCCCTTTGTTTCTGCAGTGTAATTTGTCCTCGTACGACTCCTAGAGAGAGAATTTTTTTTTGTGGAGTCTATTGGAATTCGTTCTGTTTTTTGTGTGTAGCAAAACGATGCCGTTGGTGAGAGTGGAGGTGCGTAATGAGTACGCGCTCGGAGCACCGGAGTTGTACAGAGAGGCGAAGAAGGAAGATCCGAAGGAGATTCTCGAAGGAGTCGCCGTCTCCGGCCTCGTCGGAGTCTTACGTCAGCTTGGCGATCTCGCTGAGTAATTCTCTATTCCACAAATTTCTTTGTCCATTTCTCTATACGAATTGTTTGTATTTATTGCACGAATTTCTCTGTTAATTTATCTGTAGCAACTCTATGAATATCTGGAGTTTTAATTGTGCCAACTTGGGGATTTTTTTTCTTCCGTTCGGTTCATGATTTGGTTTATAAAATGAGATGTTTGTTTGCTGTTGGATGAGAGTTATACATGTTTTATATTGTGCTGAGAAGTAATTTGTATTTGGAATCTTTTGTTTTCCGAATTTGTGATGTTTCTCTTAAAGTTAGTTGAATATGGAAAGTAAATAATTGTCCATTTTCTTGAGTGTCGTAGACCCTGCTCATAGTGTTATGCTAAATTGGGGAAGCTTTAACTTATGAAATTCAAAATGGTGTTGACATTTGAAAATTAGGTTACATCTGAGTGTGCTAAGAGGTCGAAGATTACCCTGATATTGTGATATCAAATTAGGCAATTATGTGTATCTGCATTTACATAGTGAAGCCTGAAAGATAATTTAACTCATATGCTGCATAATATGCAAATGCTTGTCCTAGAAAGAATGATAAGAAAATGTGTGACCATAAGAGCATCTCCACAACCATATGTATGTGGGATGCGTGATGCTGTTTCAATATGATCTTTATAATCACGATTTCCCACCTTCGCAATGTAAACTGAAATAGCATCTATGGTGTCGCAGATTTGCAGCAGAAGTTTTTCATGGCTTGCAGGAGGAAGTGACGATAACATCTTCTAGAAGCCATAAATTGATGGCTCGTGTTCAACGAATTGAAGCTGCACTTTCTCCTCTTGAGAAGGCTTTACTAGCACAGCGGAGCCACTTGCACTTTGCTTATACTGCTGGTATGGTTAAAATTCTAGATTTCACATTTTCTCTCTGATACCCCTTTCCTTTTCTTAGGTGAAGTTAAGTGATTGTAACAACTTCCCCTCCGAACATGTGTTCACATATGCTTCGTCCAGTGTTCCAATTGATAGCTGCATGAACTGTACTCTCTCTACAGAATTACTCTTTCATCTTGTAGGTCCTTATCAGAAAATCTGTTTGCAGGATCCAATTGGCATGCACGTATCCGAAGTGAACAGAATCATTTTGTATACAGTGATGTGCCTCAATTTATCATGGAATCTTATGAAAACTGTCGTGACCCTCCATGTTTGCAGTTGCTTGATAGGTACGGACACTATTAAACTTTTGTATTGATATCCCCATCTTGGCCACAGAAATGAGTTTGTGCTTCCTTTTAGGTTTGATTCTGGCGGACCTGGTTCTTGCTTGAAAAGGTATTCAGATCCAACTTTCTTTAAGAGATCATCAGTGGCGTCTGGTGAAGCTAGTACCGACAAGATTTCAAGAGATAAGAAGGGTCGCAAAATTAAGGTAATATGCCTTAAAAGCATTAGTAGGTATTATAAATGTTGCATTAACATCAGCTCATAAATAACCTTGAACCATTGGTGGTGTTATGACAATGATATTTTCTTCTATAATGCTAAGATTTGCTGAAACTTGTGCAGAAAAGGAGGTCATTTCCCAAGAATGGAGAAGTATCACGAGATACATCAGCTTATAACAGTGGCAGGTAATTGCTATTTATACTCCTATAGTGAGGTTGAACTGTGGAAGGAGAAGTACAGACTGGAAAATGGTGGTGAAAGCATTGACCGTATGACTTTTAAAAAAATATGAATATCTCTGATTTTCATGTTAAGTACTAACTTTGTGATGCCTGAACCTTACAGAATGCGTTTCGGTCATCTGAATATTGGTGTGCATTCCCCTTCTCAAACTGCATCGACGTACGATGCTACACTAAGATCCGATTTCGGTGAGCAATCAAATTTGCATTTGAGAAATGGTTCAGGCTTCACCGATGGTGATTCCCGTACAAGTTACTCAGTGCAACCTGAAGAACAAGATTCTAGAGAATCCATTTCTTCTCTGGCAAAGAGGCGCAGCGATTTCTTAGACTATAATTTCGTCGATGAACAAATTACAAATGCATATGATGATATTGAGATTAATCTATCAGAAGAGCAGGCTGGCTGTATTCCGTCTTCTGTCACTTGGGACGAAAAGAGAGAAGCACTTGATCCAACCAGACGGGTTTCCGGTAATAATGGAATTAAGCTGGAGGATGACCATAATACACATTTAGAATCATTCTCTCAGGATCTGGACTCAGAAATTCTCTGTGATGATGCTGTTAATTTTGTAACTGTTGACAAAATGGATCTCCCATCTTATGATCATGCTGTGGAATCTGGTGATGTACATATTGATGAGATAGAAAGTGAAACTGATCATTTCATGGATGCGCTTAATACAATTGAGTCAGAGTTTGAAACTGAGATAGACTGCACAAAAAAGCAAGAAGTAGAGGATTACCATAAGTTGGATGACAAAGGAGTAGATGACGAGCTCATAAGACATAATATTGAATGCCAATCTTCAAATTCCGAGCCTAATGTTTTGTCCAATCCCATTGAGTCAGAGTGTGAAGCTGATATAGACTGCACAGAAAGAGTAGTTGATGCAGAAAATGAGCTCGGAAGACACAATATGGAATGCCTATCTTCAAATTCTGAATCTAATGTTTTGTCAAACAGTTCTCTGGTCAATGGCAGTGGTGCACATAATCTCGTTTCAACGACTCCAAAACCCCTTGATGCAACTACCAGTTCGATTAATGGAGTAGCAGCCAAGGATGAAATTAAAGCAATATCTCTAGCAGAAAAGGATTTACAGTCATCTCAACAAGCTGGAGATTCATCAAGTCCAGTCAGTCCACAGCATCTTGATTCTGGTAATAATGTCGTATCTACTTCATGGACTGCATCAGCCAACTTCAGAGACAGTAGGCCAGGGATGCCAGTTACTGATAGAGCAACGAACAGTGCTGAATCTCAGAAACAATTACCAGAAACTTCTAATGCTGCTTCATTTACATTCTGGACTAATGGTGGCTTGCTAGGTCTCCAGCCTTCAAAGCCACCAGATTTCGGTGTATCAAAGGCTCTTCCCCAAGATCAAATGCATAAGGAAGATGCAGCAAAACAGGGACAAATGGAGAACTTAAAAGGTATTACAGACCACGATGATATGGATAGCTCTACATGCCATGATTACCAGGAAAGAGGCGCATCATTTCGGAAAACATCTTGGAAAATTTCGCCTGCTGATTTAGACATCAAACATGGTAAATATGGTGACTTACAATATCACAATAATGCCAATTCTACTGGATCAAGTGTAACAACAGCATCTGGAAGTTTTGTGCCGGTAAATTCGACTGGATCTAACAAGAAACTGTTGACCGGAGGCAGTGGAAACTACTATCCTACTGTAGACCATCAGAATGCTAATGCTTTTGAGCAGAAAATTAATCGAAACGGAACATTTTCTGGACGAAGTAAAGATCCCTTTATCGGCGACTCTCCTGTTTTGTCACCTTCTTCATCACCTCCACTTAAGCACATGAAAATATCGTTCCAACCAATAGGTGGCTTTGAGACTACGAAGCTGAAACTGAAATTCCCAGATGTAAACACTAATAGCGGGAATGGCAGTGATATCTTTCCTTCATTTCAGTTGGTCCCAGAGGCATCCTTTACTCCGCAGGAGGTTGGCTCAGACTCAGATGCTGACACATTTTATAGGTCATCACCTTCTTTATCAGATGATTGTCACAGCAATCAGTCTGAATCAAATTCCGACCAATGGGAGTCCAGCGAATCTCCCACTAGCAAGGACCGTGATATATACGATTCCTTTCGCAGAGTCTCGCTGACTGAATCTGTTTCAGCGGTTCAGGAAAAGGGGAGGACTAACCGTGAACTTCAATTGCCTTTTACTGAAAACGGCGCGCAAAATTCTGAATCTTGTGGCTCGTCTGATGCTCAAAGTTTAAGCACCGTAAATAACTCTATCAGAAAGGAACTAAGAAATGACACCAACCTAAATGACCTTGTGGAGCCGCTATTTGTGCCTAGTCCTGCTCCTCCACCTCTGCCTCCAGTTCAATGGCGAGGTAGTTCGGCCCCATTGGATGGTTCCGAGGACAAGCCTGAAAGCTCTTATTATGCATCATTTGATCGTACACATTCATCATCTACAATCTCTCAGCCTAAACCAGCCCCATTAAATGAAGATCAAATTGATACGGCAAATACGCAGAAACTCAAGGTCTGATGTTTTTCTGTCCTTGCTTGTTTTCTTTTTTTTTTTTTCCCGTATATTTAAGCTGCATGGTAATCTTATGACTAAACTATATTTATGCACTCAGCAGTCCAGCTCATGGAAGTCAAATAAACAAAGAGAAGCTAATCAGAGCACGAATGTCGATGAAAACGACTTCCTACGGCAAATTAGAACAAAAGTGAGTTACTGGTGACTTGAGCTATTTTGTCGTGTCGTAACTTAATTGAAATCTGAATAGAACCTTACACCTGGTCTTTAGCACGTGAAGATAAGAAGGAATGATTTAGCTGCACTCGTTCTGTGCCTTGTTATGCTTCACTAGTTGACCACTTTGTTTACTTCATATATATGCCATAAAATTAGTGGAATAATCATAATTATTGGTTATCATTTGAATCTTGAAATACTTCAATATTTGCCTATCGTGGTGGATTGTCTGCAAATTTGGCTTTCATCTTCTTCTGGCCCTCGTTTATTCATTCAATTTGTCTTTTATGTGTTGCAATGTTCTGTGCCCATAATTTATATTGCATATCTTTTACATGACACAAACCATAATAACTTGAGAACTGATCTTTATTACCCTATCGTTTTTTGTGGTGTCAGTCATTCAATCTGAGACGAACTGTGACTGCAAAACCTACCGTACCATCAGGATCCTCTGCCACTGTCCAAGTCACCGCAATTCTGCAGAAAGCCAACGCCATTCGCCAGGTTCTCTCTCTCTCTCTCTCACACACACACACACACACACAAACACACACACACAAGTTACCCGAGCTTTGCTCTCTGATATTCACTGTGTTAAGTTGTTCTCCGTTCAGGCTGTTGGAAGCGATGGAGAAGAGGACGGGAACTGGAGTGACAGTTGAACTCTCTCCAGTTATTTTGTTTCCGATTTCGACAACTGGTGGTAGGTATTTGTGAATAAACCCTGTTTGTGTAGTTAATTTCATTTCTAGGTCATTTTTACATCACAAAATACTCTTTCTGTTAGTTTATATTTTTGTAGTGAAAATTAGGCTTCAATGTAAATGCTACTTTTCATGGCTCAACCATTTGCCCCCTTGTGAAACCTTTTCAGCCCCTCCACCCCCTTCAAAAAACCCCACAAAATTATATAATATATATATATATATATATATATATATATATATATATATATATATATATATATATATATATTAAGGAAAAAAGACTCCATATCTCAGTTCACAATCCCCATGTGTCAAAAAGGATAGTAAAAGTAGAATAAATTTAATCAAGCGACAAAAGGATAGTGGTATAATAAAAGATGCATGCATCCATCAATTCTTTATCTAAATTAGATGATTTGAAAATATTATAATATTTTAAACTATTTTGTAAACTCTTTTTGCAGGAGTGACTCTAGAAATGCAAAATACGTACAGCTTGCATTAGCCTTATTTAATTACTATTAATTAAAATATGAAAGAAGAGAGACTTTCAATTTATTCTATTCATTAAAGTAAAGCAAGTTGAATGTTAGCCACGTCAGCAACGCAACGTGTTAATCCAACTTTTCCAACACAGTAGTGTGCTTTTTATTACACTAATTTAATAATCAAAGTGCACCGAGATATTTTCTTGCCAACGACACTCGTGTAAGTACCAAAACATGAGGGGTATTTTCGTAAATTAATCTTGCATCAAAAAGTGGCTGGCCGTACCTTATATTTTTACATTACACAGTGTTTACATGAATTGTATGTAAATTAAAAGATGTAAAATTATTTGATATATTTTACTAAATGAAGCATCCAGACAGTAATAGATGTAATAATTGGAGGATGCCTTTTTTAATAAGCTTTGTATTTTATAAAGAGATGTTTAAAGATGTAAAGGAAAAAAGTGCGTATCTTTTCAACTAAAGAACGGAAGTAAGTTGTTCATGGAGAGAGTCTTGAAAAGAAGGTTTTGGAAATGAAGCAACTTTTGTATTTAATCAAAAAGTTAAAGGAAATAATACTTTATTAAAGTAACCCCCATATAATCAAACGGAAAGCCACTCGCACTACCCAACACAACCACAAGAAAAATTCTAACCCCAACGTGGATCGAGTATTTGCAGCTGCAGTGTCGAAATTTTCAATTTTAATGTGAGTTGGTTCCTTGTGGGCCCACAAGAAATTTCGTCTATTAAATCTGTTGGGCTAAGGGACTAGAGTCCAGTGGACTGGACGAAATATTTCGTCTTTTGGTACAAGGAAAAAAAAACCATAATCTATGAACATTAAATGATTTTATTCAATTGTCTCAATCCAAAAAATTCTGATTTTAGAAGAAGGTTTTCTTTATTCCGACTTTCCGTAAGAAAATGATATTGTAGCCTTTCGAGTTCCTGAATTTTTTTTGGAAATTGTCTAATAAAAAACGTCATATTTCCAGCTCTACAGTTTATAAACAAAAAGCAGAGAAATAAGTCAAAATAATGAAATAATAATTGGAGGAAAAATACAATTAAAATAAAATAGAAGGCCAAGCCGGCCAGATACACGGGTTATAGTAATTATCTCTGTTGACTTAGAAATGTGCAACGACCCTTGACTTTTTAATTCATTCTTTTTCCACGTATTTTCTGATTAATAATTATCCCATATTTTATTCATATTAATTTGGTATTTTCTTATTCTTTAATTTTCCACATTTCACAGTTTCAATAGAAAAAAAAAATGTAAATCTTTGTAAAATAATAATAAGATTAGAAAAACAGCAAATTAAAGTTTAATCAAATGAAAAGCCCTTTTTTTTGGTAGCTTTATTATCCCTTTAATCTTTCTTTTATCTTTAATCTTTAGGCTCCAACTTTGAAAACACCTTTTGTACTCAACTAATTAGTAATTCCCTGTCCATGGGACCCACAAACTCAATTTGATAATGACGTGGTCAAAAAGTTCATCGTCAACTTTTAAATTATCACCGACCATTCCCCCTCCCCCCACCCCCCCCTCCCCCACTGTTTGCTGCTGGCGGCTCTCTATCTAAATCTTCATCTAAATCCCCTTTTCATT